AGCTCCTGGAGATCAAGAACTCGATGTCGTACGGGAGCTCATCGATACCCAGCTATCAGTCGTCGTCGACCACAACGACAGGCAGTGATGTGTCGATTCGGGACCAGACGGCCGACGAGGCGTTCGCCCGACTGCAGCTCCTGTACGCCAAATACTGCGACCAAAACGGACTGTTAAACCAAAACAATTGGCGATTCTCTACAAAATCGTGACAATCGCTGCCCCGAACTCAGAGGAGAGTCACTACAACCTCGGGATGTATTGCCACCGGATTTACAAGAGTTTCGAGGACTCCAAACGGAATAACAGATTGTTTTCGTTGGGAAAGACTGAGGAGATACTGGAGATGAAGGGCCGGACAGTGCGCTCACTCATCGAGTCATTGAAATATGGCGTAAAACACGCGCACAACTCACTGCCCCTACTGTTGAACATATGGCTTGATTTGGGGACAGAGCTGGCGTACAGCGTCAATCGCGGCAGAAGTACTGTTCCCCTCTGCGAGACCCCATTCCCTATGTTATTTGTCTAANAAGGTTCTCGCCGACTCCCGGGACAATCACCATCAACCGCAGCTCCGCAAGTTCGTCGTAGATATGGTGAAGTTCGCCGAACTCATGACATGTATGGCCCAAAAGGACGTACAGAGGGGTCAGAGGGTGCGGTCGGGCGTCAAACACTTGCAGTTCTCCAAAGACTTCCCGGAATTGCATCGACTGTTCGACCGCACGGACTCCGACTTTAGCCAAATTCTGCTACCGTTCCGCTCGCTGGTCAACGTGACGCTCCCGAAGTCCACTCACGAGAAGCACTACCAGCCCTTCGCGGCAAAGGATGTCTATATCTATAAGTTTGAGGACACCATCGAGTTATTGCATTCACTGCAGAGGCCGAAGAAGATTGCGATCGTGGGATCGGATGGCAAGAGGTATACCATTCTCTGCAAACCCAACGACGATTTACGCAAAGACTACTGTTTCCTCGAGTTCTGCAATCTGTTGAACCGGTGCTTCAAACGAGACTCGGAGGCCCGGCGCCGGCAGCTGCGCGTCAACACCTATCTCGTGGTCTCCCTGTCCGACACGTGCGGACTCATCGAATGGATACCCGGTTTAACCCCATTCCGGACGCTCGTGGAGGGCCAGTACGGTCTGGTCATGAATTACGAGGCCATCAAGAAGGACGTGACCCTCAACTACCCGCCCCACACCCTCCCCAAGACCGAGAGGGTTAAGAAGTTCCAGTCGTATATACTGCCAAAGTTCATGCCCTCCGTGTTTGGCAACTGGTTCGCGAGCACCTACTCGGACCCCCTGTCGTGGTTCGCCGCCCGACTCGCGTACACCCGCTCCTCAGCCGTGTTCAGTGTCGTCGGCTATCTGTTAGGTCTGGGCGACAGACACGGGGAGAACATTCTCATCGAGGAGGCCAGCGGTGAGACGGTCCACGTCGACCTCAACTGTATGTTCAATAAGGGCGAGGACTTCCAGGTGCCCGAGAGGGTGCCCTTCCGGTTGACACACAATATGGTACACGCCATGGGAGTGACCGAGTTTGAGGGCACCTTCCGCAAGGCTTGTGAGCACACCTTACGAGTGGTTAGAGAGAACAAAGAGGCGGTCATGAACTTTGTGACCCCTTTCCGGTACGACCATTTGAATGAGTGGAAAGGTAGCGGAGACCTCAGGCAGACGTCCGTTGAGTTTACGATCGATACTGTAATTAATTTTTTGTATGTTTTGAGGTTTCAATTGGTTTTTGATTTTTTTGTCCGTTTTTTAAAGGCCGAGAAAATTGTGTTCAACGTTGAGGCCCGACTTAATGGCATACCGGCCCGTAATGAGAAGAACCTACCGAAAGGCGTTCCCCTGTCGGTCGAGGGTCAGGTCGACTCCATTATCAAAGTATTTGAATGAGTGGTGTGTTTGAGATCATTGTTTAAATGTATTGTTTTTTCTGTTTCTATAGGAGGCGACGGATGTTAACAATTTGGGGGTAATGTACGTCGGGTGGACGGCATACTTATAGGACAGACATATCATTGTTTCGTATTTATTCAATCAAATTGCGTTCAAATATTTTGTATTTAATTAATTTTTTAAAATTATTTTTCTATTACTTTTTCAATAATTTTGTAAACAGTAAACATTTGCCATTTTTCTATTCAGAGTTTATAAGTGATAATTGTTTTGTAATTAAGACAATAAATGTATTATGAATTACCTGTAAATATACGATTCAATCATTTCGATGATTGCCTGCCATTTGATCTTAAAATGCAATATATTTATGACAAATAAGAGTCAATATTACAGTGAATAACAGTCGTTAAGAGGACTGGAGATAACAATTAATATCAACGTTATATTATAATTATACTTTCATTATTTAGCTATTAAATATTAAATAATCTGGGTATTATTATTCGTATTTGCGTGATTGCTTAGTGCTTTTGCAATAAATTAAATAACAGTATCTTTATAACGACGAGAAAACACTTCTTTTAACTCAGGCTTAGGGTTAAAGACCACATTTCATTGTATTTAGAAATTCAACACTCATTTGTGTTTTTCAGTTAGTGCGAATAATTTCAATATTCAAGTAACAATAATAAAGTGTTAAATCAAAAGTATCTCTCGAAACGTTTTTTCAACTCAATTCGTCAATTTCATTATTCATATAATGTGAAAGTTTTCAAGTATTCACACCATACGAAAAGTTATCTATCAGAAAATGAATTTAAATAGTTTTCAAAGCACAACAATATTCACATCATTCATATTAACAGTCATATTATTCTCATCCATAAGTAAATCCCAGGATCTAAATCATGAACCGGTGCGCTCAGGACAAGGTATGTATGACTGGCTTTAAATCCCATTTTGTGGATTAATATTCAATCATTTAATCCATTAGTAAATTATAGTATCTATTCAAAGATTTGTAAAATAGGTTAGCGTTAGCCTAACGTCGACAGCAATGTACTGCTCATAAGCCGTCATAACTCGCGATAACTTTTTAACTGTAAATAAGTTATCCATTGAAGTGAACAGTTGTTTGCTTTTCTCGAACTCCATATCCAATACCTTTACAAAACTTAGGCTTACTTTTTAATTTTAACTATAAATCTTTGATTGGATTAAACTTTTATTATATATAATGTTATATTTTAGTATAATTATTTATTTGGCTGACTATAGCGCCTATATTTATACCGGCAAATGCGAGACCAGTGCCACCGGTCGGCCCCCAAATACTGGGCGATATGATCCAATTCCGACAGGAGCTTATGTACCCGTACAACCTGAGCGACTTGACGGAGATAACATCAGCCAAACCCCTACACGACCAGCCCCTGCCATTCCGACTGCCATTCTTTGGCTTCTCGTATCACTATATTTGGGTAAATGACTCCTCATTTCAATGTCTTTTGCATTAAATTCTTCGATAATTATTCGGTTTTGTTGTCACGAATAGTGAGAAACATAAGGAAAATGTAGACGTAATTAGAAAAACTTTGCAACAATTATGTGATCACATAATAATAGACACATTTAAGCGTTCCATCAGATCAATCATCCCTCTCATGGCTTAAAGCAATTAGAGTTAGACATCGAATACACTATAAAATGAGCCAAATATTGAACGCAATCATTGTTTTGATGGTTGAGTTGATTATCACGGAAACAAAGCTATTCACAAATTTGCTAATTCATGGGATTATACATATCGTTGACTCCAATACATAGAATTAAATCGTAACACGAGTTTTCAATTACATAATTCATTCACAGATCCAAAGGGACGGCTACCTGGCCTTCAATAAGGGTTTACTGTCGTACAAGTTTCCCGTGAAGTTCCCGTCCGTACCCAGGGATAACTTCATGGAGGAGGACCCCTCGATGATCGCCCCCTGGTTTGCATTGCAGGAAATACCTACGGAAGGGCCGCACGCGGGCGTCTACTTAAGGATAGTAGACCTCGAGTCGGAGCTCAATATCACGTTAAGAGATCGCATATACTATGACTTCCGGGAGGGTATGATCGGTGCCTCCGATTTCAAGCCCAAGTTTGCGCTGATAATCACGTGGCGGAACATGACCATGGTCAATAGGCGACCTGAGATGCCACTTGTGGTGCGTATTTGAGTAGTACCATAGACTCATTACTAGTTCGTGGAACTGTAGACAAATTTTCTAACTTTTCTATATAATTCTAGACAAACACATACCAGTGCGTGTTGGCCACGGATGAAATCCGGACGTACGCTATGTTTAATTACGAACAAATCCAGTGGATTACCCATCTGGACAACTACGAGGGTCTCGAGGGGTCGGCAGCTTATGTAAGTCCCGGTGTTAACAAGTTTACCCATAAATCCTAATTAAGGGTTATATAATAAATGCATTTATAATTATAGGTGGGTTTCAACGCTGGTAACACTACCCGTACCTACGAATTCAAGCCGTACTCGCAAAACCCTCGCATATCATACCTGACCACCCGGGGCTGGGGTAACGGTCTAAGAGGGCGTTATTTTTTCCAGATCGACGAGGAGGTGTGGCCGGGCGCCTGTATCGAGAAGGACTTGGACTCTAACTTACCCGATCGACTACCCCTTACATTTTTCCCGCGTGTAGGCGCTATGTTAGGCGGCACCATGGTCAACTTCACCGGCCCCTGTCTACAGCTCTCGAGTATAATAACGTGTAAATTTGAGAACTGGCAAACACCAGGCATATACAGGGACTTCAATCACGCCACCTGTATCACACCCCCTGTAATGTACCATGGTTATGTCGATTTGACCATCACCGTAGATGATAGGACCCTGTTTCTGGGCAGATATTAGATACGTACGTTGTTTTTGGGTTATTTCTATAGGGATTTTCACTAACATTGTATACTACCTGTGCCACAGAGCCCCCGGACATCGCCGACGACGACGTCGTGGTCTTAGAAAACGCCGACCGACTGGAAGAGCCGCTGAGTCTGGATATCAAGTGGAAGAAGACGCATAAACTGGGTTGGGATGAGAACGCCCGGGTGACCATGTCGTTGTGGGGGTACCGGGAGATTGGAGATGTATACCCGCACCTCACGTACATCGACACGTTAGGAGACGCCGGTTCGCTACGGTTGGGCCAATTGCGGACATCCATCGACCCTAACCTCTACAGAGACCGCAAGAACTACAAGACGAGTGACATCACGTTCGGCTTCATTGCCATCAACTTAACTGATCCGACAATTCTGGACAAAGACATCAAACAGTCGCCCACCATATGGTCGCGCCCTATGCCGCTG